CACAGTGCCTTAGTGCTCACTCCCCAGTTTTATCATGTTTTTCAGGTCAGGATGTCAGGCTGGGAGCGTGACGTGGCATGACGGGACTTTCGAGATATTTATACATGTTTTGGGCTGTATAAATATAATTATCACTTAGCTTCCGCTTATGTTTTGATGACTTGTGATGATGTTTTGCTATCTTTTGACGTACGCTTTTGACGAACTCATCACTTTGACGAGCTTTTAAGAAAAATAAAGTTTTCAGGAACCGGACGTTTTATTAAATTAAAATAACGGTTTTTAAGTTAAGTCACGATTTTTCACGGTAGCACCCCGACTCAGTTTTCGCAAAGTAAAAAGAAAAATGTTTTATTTTCACAGACTTTGCAAATTATTGCGCTACTCTGATTTTACAGTAAGGTGGGGTGTTACAATTGGTATCAGAGCACGTTTCTGCGTCTCTGATAAGTTTTTCAGTCAGTAATTTTTCAGAAAAACCCGAACCGTCATGCTCACGCCCCGCCGACGACAGGTAAGTGCTGGTGCAATTCAATTTTTTTTCAGTTATAAACATATTACTTTGTCTATGCTCAGAATTGAGGATCAGAACTTTAGTTAAGATGCTCAACTCAGATTCAGACCTTAGAGTTCGGACATGACTCTAGAATGCAGGCATTCAGATATGACTCTAGACGTTAGGATCTTCCTATATGACTCTAGAGTTCTTCAGGTTTCACGTCAGTAATTATCGGCCATTTTTAGCAACTCGTCAAGAGATTTGTGTGCCTTAATCAGTCAGTAATGTTATCATGTATTCAGTAATGTTAAACTTTCTCAATGTTCAGATGTCGCCCCGTAGGGAACCCGATCACCCAGTTTTTTTTATTCAGGTCACAGTAGTCGCACAGTTCCGCGACTATCATGTTAAGAAATTCTTCGGGTAGGAAATCCCTGTATTGGGGACGAGTGGATTCAGAACCTTAGAAAGAGGATTAAGTTTGCAAACTCTAGATTCAATTCCAGATTCAATCAAGTCAAGTTAGCAACTAGTCAGAGGATTTGTAAGCACTCGTGCTAAACAAATCTTAATAATCATGTTTCTCAGATATTTTTTATCAAGAACTGCCATTTTGTCAATAAATTGGCAGACTTCAGGAAGAAATTCCTTGATTTAATTCGAGAAATAGACTCAAAGTTCCTAAGTCAGATTAGTAAGTCATGTTCAAGGCAAGAATTTTCATGTTAAAGGTTGTTATAATTCTCAAGTCATTGTCAAGGTAATGGTCTCCAGTGTATAAGAGTCAATAGTCCGGGTTACCATGGAGGCTTGAAATAAGAGCCACTCAGCCGGGTATACCATGGAGGCTTGAAGCTGGGGCCGAATCAGTAAGATTTCAGGTAATAACAACCTTTCAAGTCAGTCATGTCAGATATTTTATCAGTCATGATATTTTAAGTTATGACTTTCAGAAATCAAGATCAGCTAATTACTTTGTACTTGCGGGACCAGTTGATACTGGAGAAGCCCTATATAGTACAGAGTTCAGGTTCACGATTTACAGTTTACGTTCATGATGTAAGGTCGACGTATAATAGTTGTTCAGCCGGGAAAGATGTGGCGGTCTGATATACAGACCATTAGTCCAGATTTACCTGGAAACTTGAAACCGCACCTTATCAAGTCAAGTAAAGTCATTAAATATCACGTTTTCAATCTCGAAGCGACTATTTAAGTTGTCTCGGGATAAATTTTCAGAATTCGAACAAAGATGATTAAGTCATGAGAGAGTCAAGTCATGATTATTCAGTCATGAGAGTATTCAGGCCAGTCATATTAAGATCGAGGATAGTTTGTCTAATAAGACAAGACTTATCCATCATTTTCAGTATGTCAGCGTCTCGATTTTTAGATTCTGAAGAATCTGAGAAATCGTGGAGATATTAAGTCATGAGGGACTTCTTCTTGAGGTTAAGATTAACCTCGGAGGGAGTAAAAAGTTACAGGTACCACAGGTTGACATTCGCCGCAGTGAAGAAGAGCCACTCGACAACAACGGATCGTGCCACGATGGTAAACCGACGCTTTCTATTCAAGATGACATGCCAGAGTCTCAGTACACTGGGAGATTACCGAGAGAGTCTTCACCACCAGCATTCCGATTGAAGATCCGCCAGCAGCCAGGAGAGGACGACCAACATATTTCAGAGTTTTGTTTTGAGATCATGTCTTATCAGTGGAACACTTTCTTTCAGAAAAATGTCCATTTCCAGTCAGCAGTATTCTACAATTCACTTAATTGTGAATTGATGTATCTCAATTTAGATCAAATATTTTATTCAGTATTAAATTACTGGATTTTCAAATCATGCAATCAGTAAGTATAAGCTTTAAGCTGGTACATTCCAGTTTTACTATTTTCGAGGAGTTCATGAGGAGGTTAACTTCAGCACCGGTGTTGACTGTTCCCGATCCTTCTCGGAGTTTCACTATCTTCAGCGATGCTTCGAGACAGGGTTTGGGATGTGTCCTTATGCAGGACGGCCAGGTCGTTGCGTATGCGTCACGTCAGCTTAAGCCTCATGAGCAGAACTATCCTACGCACGACTTGGAGTTAGCAGCAGTCGTTCACGCTCTGAAGATCTGGCGTCATTATCTTTATGACGGACGCTGTGAGATATTCACTGACCATAAGAGCCTACAATACATCTTCATGCAGAAGGAGCTTAATATGAGGCAGAGCCGTTGGCTAAAATTGGTCAAGGATTATGATTGTTCTATTCAGTATCATCCGGGGAAGGCGAACGTCGTCGCAGATGCCCTAAGCCGAAAGGTGACGGGAGACTTGACGTACGTCATTACACAGCAGAATCCATTGATTCATGAGTTTGCCCGGATGCAGCTTCAGGCGATTGATGCACTTCCCATAGCTATTTCAGGGAGCACTAGTGCCAGTGTCAGTGCTATACAGCTTCAGCCGACACTGAGAGAAAGAATCCGGCGAAAGCAGGCTTCTGACGAATTTGTTCGTGTCATGGAGGCCAAGGTTCGCGCCGGAGGTGTACAGGATTTTCAGCTAGGCGCCGATGGTGCCTTGGAGTTCGGAGGCAGGATCGTGGTCCCGAAGGTCGAGGCATTGCAGAAGGAGATTTTATCAGAAGCACATACCGCACCTTACTTGGCCCATCCCGGGAGCACGAAGATGTACCACGACCTGAAAGGGTCGTTCTGGTGGAGAGGCATGAAGAAGGACGTCGCCGAGTTTGTTAGGAGGTGTCTTACCTGTCAGCAAGTCAAGGC